TGAGATAAGCGGACTGGGTTCAACAATAATGATTTGGTATGTGCGGTCTGTCAGGGAGTAAGACCATCTCGAGACTACACATTTCATATTGAGTAATGTGATCATAATGTAGGGAATTCATCCAGTTTTGGGTTTTAAAACCCTATAAGGGTTAGGTTTGATTGCCTTGGGAAGGTTGGGGTTATGCTCGGTAGGTGTTTTTACACACACACACACATGTGTGTGTGTGTGGGGGGGGTCTGTACGTGTTGGCATATGGGTGCGTTTCTTTAGGCTGGCCTGAAAATGTTTGGAACCACCATAGCAGCCAACCATGGTAGCTGTCGGTCGGGTGCTGCTCTTCTGCCACCACCAGTCACCGTGTGAGGTGGTTGTGTGTGATGTAGTGTGTGTGTGTGTGTGAGCAACCCTTGGCCGGAATTTGAAAAGAAACCACCACCACCACCATGAGGTGGTGACTAGTACCTCCGACCACCGCCTGCTGCCATAAGGTGGTTGTGTGTGTATTTATTGGGTGCTTATTTTTTGGGATATTGTGTGTATTATTGTAATTTGTAACTAAAATAATCAAGAAAACTCATAACCACAACCATAAGGTGGTGGCTGCCGTCTTTTTCCGCCACCAGTCGTCGTGTTGGGTGGCGGTGTGTTTATTTGTGTTTGGATTCGTTTGGGATGCTTGTAAATTTTCTAGCCAAAATCATAACCACCACCATAAGGTGGTGGCCACCGCCGTGAGCCGTCGTTGACCACCACTACCTGAGGTGGTAGTGGGTGGTGCCTGACTTGTTTAACCCTAATGGACCCAATGAAGCCCTAATTCACCTAAAAGCCCAACCATGTGACTAATGGCCTAATATTTGGGTTGGAAACCCTAATTAGGGTTTGGAAAACTCTAATGTCATGAAACCCTAATTTTGGGAATTTGATCGGGACCCGCACTGGAATTATTTAATAGACTGAAAATGTTAATTAATAATAATTTACAATTAACCTAAGGCAATATTGGACTTAATGGATAAAGTCCTTAATGGGTTAAGTATGAACACTTAACCCCAATTGTCATTTCATGTGAAAACCATAATTTCACTTGGGCCTTGAGTTGGGCCTATCTATTAGGCTTTGGTGATTGGGCTATTGACGGGCTATCAAGAACAAGTAAATGGACTAACATAATTGGATGGGCTTTACGATAAGGCCTATGTGAGGGTTTGGGCCCAATTTGGAAAATTGGACCATAGGTTGGCCATAACTAGGCCTTGACAATTATGAGAGGTTGGACCAATTGAAATGCCAAATGTTTAGACTGGACTAAGTGATTTAGCCTTAGGGTAAGACCATCTAGAGGTCTAGGCCCAATTTGGAAAATTGGGCTATATGTTGGGCTTTGGTCCATTCGATGACTATTAGGCCTTTAGAGTGTGAGTTGGGCCTATCTATTAGGCTTTGGTGATTGGGCTATTGATGGACTATCAAGAACAACTAAATGGACTAACATGATTGGATGGGCTTTACGATAAGGCCAATGTAAGGGTTTGGACCCAATTTGGAAAATTGGGCCATAGGTGGGCCATAACTAGGCTTTGACAATTTTGAGAGGTTGGACCAATTAAAATGGCAAATGTTTAGACTGGACTAAGTGATTTGGCCTTAGGGTAAGACCATCTAGACGTCTGGGCCCAATTTGGAAAATTGGGCCATATGTTGGGCTTTGGTCCATTCGATGACTATTAGGCCTTTGGAGTGTGAGTTGGACCTTGGGCTTGGAGCCCAATTATTAACTGGATGTTGTTTTGATATTGACAGATCAGGAATCTATCAACCAACAACTGGAGTTTTATTTGCGGGTCTTAAGCGTGTCAAACCCAACAAATAAAGGGGTACAAATAACTCCTTAAACACTACTACTTTGTAATAAAAAAAAGTAATACAATGTAAGTAGGATCGATCCAAAGAGACATAACATAAATGCTTATACCCTTTTGTATAAGGTATAAATGATATCATAAAAAACGCGCGGGGGGGGGGGGGGGTCATGGGTATTTTGTAATAACTAATGTCTTTTGGATGTTTGAAAAAGTTTTAAATTGGCTTGATTTTTGTGGGTGTTACATCGATAATATAACTATATATAATAATCTCCTCCTAGGTTACATGAAAAAAAATAATACAGAACTAAAAAGATGTTTATATGAGGGACTGGATTTGTTTAATTAACTAATAGTTTAATTAATTAATTTGAAAATAATGAAATATTGAATATTCAAGAATGATTTGAATTCCATAGATAATTATTATTATATTTGGTAATTATCTTCAGGGTTTTAAATCTTCACCCTATATAAAGAGGGTTCCAAATCCGTTTTTGACACTTGTGAAAAATACATTTTAGCTGTTAAAGTTTGGAACCCTAAAAAACCTTAAGAGTCTCGAAGTGTAATTCCCATGACGTAGCACCTTGATCACCATGTCATTGCTTGTCGTAGAATCGAGTTCTTGATTCAGTTTGTAGCTCACAGTTAGAGGATTGTTTCGATATTCTTCAACTTTGTTTCTTGGGTGCGATTACGGAAGAGAAACTCTCCGTTAGGTTCTCTGGTCCAATCAAATGCCTCGTTAAAAGAAGAAACTCAATAAGAAAGCAATGATATGATTCTATTTATTATGTCCTATTAGTTGCATGAATTGTTGAGTTTGATCGGTTGTTTTAGGTCTACCTGATCATTATTCTTGTTTCTGCTGCCCATTATTTTGGTCTTTGACTAGGCTTGAAGCACATCAGGGAGCTCGAAAGAGATGCAATGAAGATGGAAGATTGTGTAGTGGATTAAGAAGCTCTTATGTTCACGATTAGTTCCTAAGAAGTGTGAGCAACGAGAGATGAGGTTGTGGATAATTAATTACACCATCAAGAAACCATAAATATGTAGTTTAAATGGTCATGAGTTAATCTGGAGAATGATTTAATGGTTGAGATTTATCGGATGATTTTTCACTTACCTCCAAAAATAATTATATATAATTAAAATAAATTTTTTGTTACATTGTAATTTCTACATATCAATCAACCAAATATTAATAGTTATTATGATAAACATGAGCTCTTAAACCAAACATTGACCTTAAATTATTACAGTGTTCATATTTTATTTTTGGGTTAATCGTAAAAAAGACATTATATATTGGGTTGTTTCCGGATTAATCAACTTTATTTTTTTTCATGAAAAATCCTTTATATTTATTCTATTTTTCCTGATTTAACCTTTACAATTTTTTTTTATAAAACACTTACATTTTCAATTTTTTTTCGATTTAGCCCTTACCTTTTTTTTTTATTTCCATTTTTCGGATTAAACCTCAACATTATTTTTTTCAAAAAAAAAAAAAAAATCTTACAAATTTGTTATCCTTGAATATTTCTCGCATTTGGTTCCATAACTCCATAGAAGATGCTTCAAACTTTATGATGGTTTGGACTAAATCTAGAGACACGATCCTGTAAATCCATTAATTAGTCAAGAACATTATAAGTTCATATAATGATATAGATAATTTGAACCTAAGATTTGCAACGATCATTAGTTTAATCAAGGGTTATCTATATTGAGTTTCTTTATGTTGGCTATGATAAAAAAAATGGTAACAAATGTTCTTAATGACCTTTTATTCTCATTAGGGGGCTATAGCATTCTTTGATTGAATAAGAGAGACAAGAAGAAAAGATTGATAACACCAGTTAGCGATAAGAGGAAGAGGAGAAGCGTTGTTCTTCTTCCATCATTGATAAAAAGAAGAGGGGAAGGGTTATCCTTGAATATTTCTTGCATTCGGTTCCATAATTTCATAGTAGATGCTTCCAGCTTCATGATGGTTAGGAGTAAATCTCAAGATGTGGTCTTGCAACTCCATTAATTGGCAAGAACATTGTAAGTTCATGAAATGATATGGAAAATGTGAACCCAAGATGTGCAAGGATCATCAGGTTAATCAAGGGTTGTCTATATAGAGTTTTTTTTATGTTGGTTATGACGAAAAAATTGTAAGAGTTTTTCTTATTGGATTTTTATTTTCATTAGGGAGCCATATGGTTCTATGATGGAAGATGTCAAAGACAACAAGAGAAGATGGATAGCATCAGTTGGCGATAAGAGGAAGAAGGGAAGGGTTGTTTTTCCATCATGGAACCATATGATTCATAATAAGAATAACCACTAATCATACTAATGATTATTACATATCTTGTGTTGAACTTTTCTAAATAATTACATAACAACATCGAACCTTGTACTCTTTTCTATAACAACATAATATTTTATGAAATTATTATAGTTATAGACAAGGCTTGTCTTGGTTATGTGTTGGGTGTGTAACCTTACTGGATCGGTGTCGTTTAGCACCCAATTTGTTTAATGTCATTAATAGTAGGAATATATTAGTGACAAATTAGTGAGAGGCTAGTAACAATTTTGAATTGATTGCTTTTATAATATTATGGACTTAACAATAATTTTTATTTAGATGAAAGAAACAATATTAACGGGTCTATTTTACCTTTGGTACAAGGCTTTTAAAATCAACAATCTAACATTACTTATCGATATTTTTTATATTATACAAAGTCCTATATTAAAATCAAAATCAAATATAACTCAGCATATCGAACCCGTATGTGAGGCGTGACTTATTAAAAAAGAAACAAATCCGACCTCTCCATTTTCCAAGTCGTACAATAATAAAAAGACCGTTGTGGACCAAAACAATTCTTGTAAAAACTTTATTTTATTTTTATATATATCCTTTTGACATCAATATGTCACGTGTTTTTAATGACAAAAATAGCCTCGCCTTCCATGAGGTATATCAGGTATGTGTACAGAGACGCCTTTTCTTCTTATATTTTCGGGAGCACCCGTTTTATATTTTACTATTTTTTCCAAAACAAAACATAGTACTATAAATTTAGACCAACTTCTCCCATTTGTCTTCCAGTTAATTGCAAAATGGAAATCATCGAAGAGGACGCTTCTTCTTCCTCATCTTCATCTCAAACTGAGATTGGCGAAACAATCTCACCTCCATCGATCAAGAAACGGAAAGCCGGGAGAAAGAAATTCAAAGAGACAAGACACCCGATCTATAGAGGTGTCCGGGTAAGAAACGGGTCCAAATGGGTGTGCGAAGTTCGTGAACCCAACAAGAAATCAAGAATATGGTTGGGTACATTTCCAACCGCTGAAATGGCAGCTAGAGCTTACGATTCTGCAACCCTAGCCTTACGTGGTGATGCCTCACCACTCAACTTTCCTGACTCCGCTCATCTGATTAAACGAGCCAAATCATCTTCTGCCCATGATATTCGAGAGGCTGCTCTTGAAGCAGCTCTTGCCTTTAGGCCGGAAGGTTATGAACATAGGTCATCTAGGTCGCCTGTGTCTTTTCAGATTGAAAAGGTGGCGGTGGAGGTGCCAGAGATGGATTTCGTCGATGAAGAGCTTTTGTTTAATGAGCCAAGTTATTACAATAACCTTGCCGAGGGATTGGTTATTACACCACCAGCAATGAAACACGGGTTTAATTGGGGTGGTGACTTTGATTGGCCTTGCGATTTTGATTCGGATATGGACTTGACTCTCTGGAGGTATTAAGTCGAACTGATACAGACTTAAACGAAGAGACACGGTTAGATATAGTCGGTTCTTGTTTTCAGTTATTGATCGATGTTTGTTCATATTCATATACAGATCTTTGAAATTTTTTGATAGAATTTGATTCTGTAAAAAGATTAAGATTTGTGTATAAGCAAAAAATCTTGATTTAGGATTTCGTATAAATTTTTTGATGTTATACAAATATGTGCGCGTATACATGTAGTTGGTTTTATTCTCACTGTTCCCATGCAAGTTAGAACAATCATTAATCGATACACGTATGATCCGATGATTGAAATAATATTTAAGTATATGTGTTTAACTCAGATACGTAAATAATATTTGAGTATATGTGTTTAACTCACATATGTTGTTTTGACATCACTACTTTGAAGAAATGATACACACATATAATATCTCATGGAGGATTTTGATCATCCGATGCCTGTAGTTTCTTGGAAGTTGAAATTCTTGCACATGAAAACGGTTTCAAGTAAAACCAACACTTACACTTTTGTGAAATTAATGGTGAATCATATCGAATGAAAATAGTGGTTTCTAAATTTTACTCGGATAAACTTACATCCTTGACTTGAGACCATGCATTTTTTTTAATGTTTAATTTTCACTTGTCCAACATAAGAATACATACTGTCATGCCTTAATTGAAGGTAAAAGAAATTGAATTTACTATTTTTTTATAAATAGCTTCGACAATACGTTATTGTTGCTAGAAAAAAATCAATCAGTATTGTTATTGTTAGTTTCCGTGCATCCCTTGATAATGCATTCACGAACCCAGCGATTTTTGATGTCATTATATTATAATGAACAACAAGAAAACACACCCTTGCCTATTTATGGTCACACGTTTTATATATCTGTGTACAATAATCATCTGGTAGAGCATGTTGTAGCCTAGCCAAATATTCCTTAAAATAAAAATTTTGGTGCGTTTTGCATGTCTTCCACAAAAAAGTTTTGATTATGCATTGTTGCTAATTTTGCTCAAATATTCAAACAAAATTTCAACAACAAAGTATGTGATATGAATTTAGGAATACGAATTGGATAACCATTATTGACCCAATATGATATGATGGCCAAATGGTACATATACCCAATACATTTTTTTCATTCTCAATACGAATCATATTCATAAATCTCCATTTTCTGTACTTCTAGTGCCATATGCTAGTGGGGGGATTTGATTATTATCATCCATTCCTATTACTAGGAAAATAGTTTCAAAGTATTTTCCTTTTAGGTAGCTCCCTTAATGATATCAAGAAGACCCAGACAAGTTTGAAACACTTAAATCTAAAGAGTCAAAAATAAGTAATCAAATCCAGTAGATGTTAGTAACAGGTACAAAAACAATTGAGCATAAGAAATAAGAAATAGGGTTAGTTTCATTGTAACCAAACAAACTTATGTTTTTTGTTTTAAATGGTCATTGAATTTTTTTTTTTTTTTTTTTTTTTGCACATCATTACTCCTTAAACTTTCAAATTATGTGTTAAATAAGGGAATATCCCTAAAATGAAGGGGTGATGAGGTGGCATCCACATATAGATTGGTCAATTGAAATTGTCCACTAGGCGGTGATTTGTTATCCGCATTGATTTTTATATTATTTTAAATAATAATAATAATAATAATAATTGTTTCAATTCCCAAACTTTCTGAATATTAAACCGACAATCCCATCCACATACAGATTGGTCAACTGAAATGGTCCACAAGGCATTGATTTGTCATCTGCATTGATTTTTATATTATTTTAAATAATAATAATAATAATATCTTAATTGTTTCAATATCTTAATAATAATAATAATAATAATAATAATAATATCTTAATAATAATAATAATAATAATAATAATAATAATAATAATATCTTAATTGTTTCAATTCCCAAACTTTCTGAATATTAAACCGACAATCCAAGGTAATATGATGAGAATCAATTCCACCTTCTTTCTCAATCTTAAACCTCAACATCTCTTTCTCATCCACCTTATTATTCTGCTACCACATGTAACTATTAATTGTCCCCATTTCACCCACACCCGAAAGGAATCCTTTCTTTCCTGACCCTTCACTCTTTAGCACCACCGCTACTTCCACTCGACCAATAACAACCCCAAAGCACGACACGAGGGTCAATTGTTAACTTTTTTCAAATGTGAATCCGAAGATGATGGCATTGTGATTGTTTTCTTCATTCAGAAATCTAAACCCCTATCTCTTTTCTAATTGTTCATCTTCATTCATATTTTAGGTTTATACAATCAATAAATCATAAAACCTTTTGTAATTAGTTCAAAATTTTGACATACTAATAAAATTACCAATGAGTATATGTGACACAGTTAAGAGGTAAACTCCTAATTTTTAATGGTTTGAAGAAGAACATTGAAAGCAGAAATTGAATTATAAAGAAAAACAAAGATCTGAGCATCATATTTACATCAATATGAAATGAAATCTCAGACAAGCAGCTCAAGTACATAAAAGCAGTGGTTTAATTTGTGGAAGGCGGTGGGTGAAGTCTGTAAGAGAATAAGAAATGGACTCCGATGAACTGACGTCTTCCGGCAAAGAGGTGACGACGGTGAAACCAGTGATGCATGAGGTGACTTCCTGTAAATAGCTTATGGGATATTAAGCATGAAATCAAACCAACACCACATTTCTTGGTCACCACTGTTAGAGCATGACAATGCTCTACAATGTTGAGTGTTTATTAGGTTAGAATATTCTCTTGGATGAAAAACATATTCCCTCTACTAGTATATAAAGTGGAGGTGATGGTCATTCTATTTGTAAGAGTGCACTATGTATACTTTGTAGTTTAGAGAGTGTGTGGTGGGATCTCTCCCACCAAGGGAGATTTATCTCTCCCAACCTATGAGTGTTACTGTAATATTTTGTATCTCTCTATCTATCTACTACAGTTTTACTCACATATCTTGTTCATCATGTTCATACACGATTATCTTCTTGGTAATATCTTCCGCACCGATCCAATCGAAAAAATGGGAACTCACAATTGGTATCAGAGCTTGAGTGGTTGTCCTTAGAATACATAAGAACATATTATAGTTGATTCCAGATTACCCAAGTATTTCGATCATTTCTGTGTTCAGGATGAAAGTTCTTCTATATACAACTTTTGCCCAAGATATCTTAACTTTAATGGCTGCTTCTAATTCTCAACAAATGTAGTCAATGAAAATAGCAAATAGTATGGGCTACCCTTCTCATGTCCCATTGCTAGTTGTTAAAGAGTATGATCACTAGAAAGTCAGAATGAAAAGATTTTTACTTGGTAAAGAAAAAGGTGAAGCTATCTGGAGATCCGTTAAAGAAGGTCCATATGTTACAGTTCAAACAATTGTTAAAGATGCTGTTGCAACTCTCATGGGACAAGATGAACAACGTCAGGCACCTCTAACTGCTGATGACATCGAAAAGCTGCATGCAGATCAAGTTACATTTTCAGAAATGGTGTTTAGTATTCCTCCTTCCCTCTTTGAACACACTAAACTGTGTAAATCCGCTAAAGAGATTTGGGACACACTTTAAGACATGTTTGAGGGATCAGAGAACACGAAGGATAAGCGTCTTACCTCGGTTGTCAACGAGTTCGACACCTTCAATACAACTCCTAGTGAATCTGTTGCCTCAGCGTCAAACAGATATCGAATAATCGTCAACGACATGACAACTCATGGGATAGTCCGAACCCCACTTGAATACAACCTCAAGTTCATTAACAGCCTCGAAAAGGGATGGGGAAATATAAAGTCGTGTCTTTAAAGTAATGGATCTCTGAAAAAGCTGAAGGTCTACCAACTGTTCGATGAGCTTCAAGGTCATGAATCAAATATTGCACAAACCCTACGAGAACTCACATGAGGTCCTTTAGCTATTGTTAGTTAATATGAGCCTCAGATTCCAAGCCTCACTATCTCGGAGCCCTTCACAGCTGTTGTTCCATATATCCCACCTGTTCAACCCTCACCTCCAGCCTCACCTATTCCTACAAACGACAACTACCAATTGAATGGTGACCTCAATACTGAAGAAACGGACTCCAAACTTGGCTTTCAACAGGAGTTTTCCTTGCTTTCCATGAAATACAATCGTCCTTTTAACAGGCCATATCACAACTGCTTCCATGCTCCTCATCAAAATAATCATCAACCATTCAACAAACCTTCCGAAAATCCTCCAGCTTACAAACCTAACCTTCCTACACCAAATCATCCTCGAAATCTTCACAGACATTGAATTCATACAAACCCAAGATTGTACGTCACAAATGTGGTCATGCGAACCACTTTGCCAAAGATTGCTTAGCTGAAGTCCCACAAAAACCCAAGATCAAGGACTCTACTTATTATGCACGTCGAGTTCAAGAATTGGTAGAGAGTGAAAAGGCCTTTGTTACCACTGTATCAAGAGATGTGGAAGGGTATTGGTCTTTTGGAGATGATGATGATATAAGTACTGGTAGAAACATGTACCTAGTGGCTAGACAAATAATTGAATATGATGAAGGTTACTGGTGATATGGATCAAAGGAAGATTATGAAGATGTTGAACCCAACTACTGTTACATGGCTAGCAACTATCCACCTGGTAGAAGCATCGTTCAACAGGTAAAATTTATGATTACAGACAATAATTTTGATTTATCTCTTTGTAAACCTTATCTAACTCAGATCCAATAAGATATCAACATCATTTACAAAGCCTATGAGTCAGCAATAGAAGCTAGTGAGAAGAAGTAGAGTGAATTAAGTTGTCTTACGTTACGTTTCGAGGATAAGAAGTTGAAAATAGAGTCTTTAGAACGAGAGCTTGTAATGTCAAAAGATGAATGTATCATTCTTAAAGACAAATGTAAAATCACTTATTCTGAAAGAAATATTTTAATTTCTGAAAACAAACGTCTCAATGCTATAATAAATTTGCATAATTCCA